TTCATCAGACACTATCACCAAATAGGTAAGTGCTGGCCTTTTCTGGTTKTATTCATTTTGAAAGCAGTGCCGTGTCAGGTAGAGTTCACTGCAAAAATTCAGAGGTGATTATAGAAAATAACGCTTCAGTAATGATTCCTTTCTAACCAGAGACAGCCTGTGCTGGTTTTTAAACGTTAAGTTTTTATTATTTTAATACAAAGCCTGAACCATTACATAATGTGTTCAAATTAAAACTCCTTGCTGAATGAGCGCCTAAGTGAAAAGAAATTCCTAGACGCTTGTCTTTTTGCAGTGCTCTGTTTTAGTTAGCGAGTTTGCTGATGGAGAAAGTAGCAGTTAGGATAAAAGGGATTATATAAAGAGCTCCCACTGAGAGTCCATGGCACTGTACCGGGTGATACCAACACTGTATTCTCCAGGGCAGGTACAATAATTAGCTGCAGGACTGGCACTTGGTCAGAGGGATTAATTAGAACTTAAGGTGGTGCTGGGGGGAGGGAAAAAGCCATAAAGATTGTCGCGATCACTCTGGCCTGCAGTCTGTGTGATTTGATGTGAAATAGCAGCAGCTGGCTGTAACCTTAGGAAGTGCAAGTGAACAGCAGGTGGTAATTCCTTCTCATTTGCCATGTCTTCACAGGAACATGTAAGCTTGTGCAGCATGGATTTATTGGCAGGTCAGAAGGAAAATCCTAAGGAGGCCTGTGACATTTACTGCAGTAAGCGAATGCAGTAGTCAGAAATGGAGTGCGTGCAGCATAGTGTAAAACTAGTGATGCTGAATGTTGTTTATTATACAGTAAGGTGGCTRTGATTTTATAACATTGACTTCATGTAGACAGATGCACAGAGCTGAATATACTCTGAGAAAATGTAGGCCTGCCATGAGAAATCACTCCACTGGAGAATGTGATGGATAATATGGAAGTTACTGCATCCAAGCAGAAAATAAAGTGGAGGGAATGATACATTCTGTCATCCTTCAGTTTTCTCAGTGGCTATCATATGGGAATGGAATAGGCTTTCCATACATTTCCAGTTGGGTAAGCAGGGCACCATTATGTAGCTCCAGGCCTGTTAGCCTCCACCAAACATCCTGCTTTGCTGAGGCATTTGGGCAGATATTCCTGGAAGCAGTGTAATGAGTGTGTTAATTTAGAAAATGTAACCAGCTGGCACATCGGRCTGAGGATGATTTGTTAGCAGCAGAATTTAGTGGTCCAGTGATCGCTGCTGATCATTATGGTGTTTTGTATTGTGCAAGGGCCTCCTAGAATGTAGAACAAGAGCCCTTACGCTGTACAGTTCAAGAATCAGACCAAATAAAGAGAAAAGTGAGTAACTTTGACTCCATCATTGAGAACAGCTTTAGACTGAGAAAAAATAAAAAAGACCTAGGGAATATTGGAGGCTATATTTATAGCAGAGTGACAGGAAAGGAAGAGAACTCATTTTATGGGGAGGATGGCTCTTTTTATGCCCTTTTAGAAACTCACTGTATGCCAGCATTCTCTCATGCATGCAATAAGATGCACTGCCTTCTAAAGGCTCCCACACATGCAAAAACTATGCAGCCATTATAATGCCGTTGCTGGGTTCCATTTAATATTTCCATCTTTCTCGCCCTTTCCAAATACATGGTGTATATGGGGAGATGATCTAAGCYGTGTTAGCATTAAATTTCTCTGACGATTAGCTCTGTAATTAGGCCTGCAGTTGTGCAAAGGAAAGTAAGTTTTGTCCTAACTGGGAATAAACTGAAAGAAGATTGTAAGCATTTGTTGAAGAGCAGAGATGTCCCTTGTTCTCAGGTGTTGCTTATACAGAGAGAAAGCTACCATACTATAACTGCTCTTGAGCTTGTGCGTGTGGTGTTGGGAGATGGAATGGCAAGTGCTCAGCATGAATGTGCTTGGTAGAGCTGCACAAAACTTGTCAAAATGCTTTCATTTCTTCTATTTTTTTTATTTTTCTTCACAAAATGGTATATTTGCAGATTAAACTCTTATTCTAATTAATTCTTAGGCCTCTTCATATTCAAAATTAAATAAATCAAACCTAATATATCTTGAATCTCTTTAAAAAAATTCTGAATACATTTATTTGAAGGTAAGTAAGAGAATTACCATGTTGTAATGCTAAAGGCTCATGAGTAAAAAAATTTTATGAAGTGGTTTAAAATAAAATAAAAGAGGTTTAAGATTTACTGCTTAGTGCTCAGGTTTTTGGCCTTTTGTAGTTTTTTTTGTGTGTTCATTTTCAGTACATGAATATTGTAGTTATATCAAGAAGAGCTATGGGCAATCTGCACAGCAGGAATAATGAATCACAGATGTAAAGATTCTGGCACATTACCATCTAATAACTTCTTTAACTTATATTCCATAATAAGATAAATGCAAATTTGATACATCTGTTTTCTAACTGTTGCATCGTTTCAGTCTTAGCAATGTCTCAGGAGTGTTTCTTTAAATGTTTGGAGTTTTAGCCTTTTTTGGTATTCTTTTCGTTTCATTTGGTTCAAAGGAGATTTCAGGTCACTGCAAAATGTATTTAGCCACACCTCACTTAATGAGAAAGTAGTGGGATGGCTGGTAAAACTTCCAGTGACTTCCAACCTACAGGGTCTCAGCATCCCTTTGTCTCACTGTGGGGGGTACATCAGGAATAAATCTGCTGAAAGCCTCTGAGATGCACCAGGGAAGGGTGTGCTGTCTGCATCAGAAATTTGCTATGACTTTTCTTTTTTTTTTTTTTGGTAAAGATCAGCATAATCTTTGTGAACAAAAAGATCACTGATGTGGTTGAAGGGGGATTCGAGTAGAGCATGTGTTTGATACATTGTTTGAACCTGTTGTAGCTGTTGCCTATCGGCACTTTCTGCCAAGAATGCRCATGGTGCAGTTCTCTGGGTGGCTGGGGCTCGCAAAGGGCTTGTCCTCAGTAGTGCCCTATGTCACCTGGCTCCGCACTGATGCAGGAATCCTTGGAGATCACTGGCTCGGGCAGCCGCAGCCTACACAGCSTTCCCGTTTGGAAATGCCGGGTGGCACCCTGACAGCCATACGTGCCAGGCCTCCCAGCAAGGGCTGTGCTGCCAGCACCTCCTCACAGATGTTGTGGGGAGCCTGCACGCATGTAGGCAGCTTAGAGGTACTAGGCTATGTTTTATACTCTGTTCCTCAGCCTGATACTGCCTTGTCTGGCTTCGAGGTTCTGCTTCAGACAGACAAGTCAACAAAAGACAAGGAGAGGGCTGGGGATTTCTCTGACTGCACCGCTCACTCTCTGAAGGCTTCTGCTTTATTAAAAGGTCTAATCCCCACCCTCAAAGACAGTGTGAGAGAAGTGCAGAGCTGAGAGGAAAATTCACCTCTCAGTAGCCCATAATTACAAAACTCCTCTTTGCTTGTATCAGTACAGCACAAGTTCTGCACATGTTAATAGACAGATGATAAGCCACACGTACCATATGTTGATGGCTAAAATTTTGGCCTGGATAAGAAAATGTTGCTATGTGTATATTGAACATGTCGAAGTTGGCCATTCTGGAATATCCCAAATTCAGTAGTATTGTTCAGTGTTTATACTTGTGTTCGTATTACCAGTCTATGTGCTGAATGTCATATGTTAAACAGAACATGAGGAGCTGGTAATCATAAAAAGTACTTCAAAATCTGCTGTCACTGCTGTCAAGTAATGCAGCAACCCAGAGTCAAAACTTTCTACATAGCCCTCTAAGTATTTTTGATTGAAAATGGCTTACAAATTAGCTGCTTAACAGCCTGACAACTGTCAAATGATCATAACACTTCTGTTTAATATTAAGGAAAGTCAGCTCTGTGCAATTTTCCTTCTGAAATCTCTTTATATTCTTAGTGTAAAATCATGACCTTTGTTTGCTTTGTAGTGCAAACCTAATCCTGTTTCCCATATGACAGAGAAGCTGTTACTTGTCAGTAGGAAATGTAGGACATACTAAACATAGTGTTTGTTTTGTTTGTCTGTTAGTAAATGGTCTCTGTGATGTTTGTGTTGTGCTGTTTTGGTACCATGTTATGCTGTGTCCATAGGGTCTGCCAGGCTTCCCCACAGCTGCTGCTCTGCAAAGTAATCAGATCCTCACCGTCAAGGTTTGTGGCTGACACGTACCTGTTCAGTCAGGTCTCTCTGTATCAGCATACAAGTGCACATGAAAAACTGGTTTGCACACCATGCACACCAGTGAATCCTTATGGTGGACAGCTCTCACTGATGCTGCATGGGTGCAGAGCATAAGACCAAATCTGTAACTGGGTACAGGGTTACCCCAAGAAGCACCCACATTCCAAGTGCTCTTGATCAATATTTTATTTTTAGATGAGGCTTTCCTGTAGTTACGCTTTATTGAGGCACACAAGAGTGTAGAAAATATCTGTGAACTGTATATTGGATATATGTAGAGTCTGTTATCTGTTTGTTATACTTCAGAGGTTCAATCTGTACGTACAGATTGTTCAAAGTGCATTTGCAAATTAAGCAGAAAAGGTTGAAGAAGTCTGGTTAAGCTGGGACTTCGGTCCATACTTAAATGCCACCATTCTTCATGGCACAATATGCTGGTTGGAAAATCTGACTGAAAGTTGAACTGGTGCTTTGTCTCTAGAAGCTTTGCTGAAAAAAAAAAAAAAAAAAAAAAAAAGAAAAAATGATTTTTAGGGCCTGGATGATGAAAAATTTCAGTATGAGGAATTCTCACAAATCTGTGAAGATGAAAGTTACACGGTTAACTCATTGTATGTTATTAATCCATCAGTGATAAAACATCCTATCCAGTCTAAGCAGAGATTAATTTCTTCAGTAGAAAAAGCACAGTTTCTGTCAGACAGAAGCACCAGTTATTTTATTTATTATAAATCTAATKAATATATCTTTATTTCTTTCTCGGGCCTTCTGATGTCTATTCTTCAACTCTCTCATCTCTGACCTTCAACCTTTGACYTCACCTGCCTGATCAGATGGTGTTTCCTAAAATCAATCATGGGTTTCTCTCTGCTGATCAGCAGCTCATTAAACGCCGCCTCATTAAGGTAGTGCTTAATCTTGCTGGAGTCTGGTTTTTCTTTATGTTCAATTTGCTCTTTGCTGTACCTTTTTGCCAGATGCCTTCTTATAGCAGGTTGTTCATTCAAAAATGTTTTCGATTGAAGCAATTAGTGAAATTTATCCCTTAAAATGCAGTGGTCAGCTTTGCTAAATGACCCACATTTAAGACACAGCCAAATTTTTTCAGTGGTTTGCACAAAAATTCTGCTGGAAATTAATCAAGTTGAGCACTGTTTTTTGTGATTTTTTTTTTTTCTTTCTAAAGGGGAAGGTAGAATGTTTTGGTAGTTTTCTTGATAATTGGCTTTTAAAAATTAATAGGTTTAAGTTATTAAAGGAATTKGCTGATTATCACTATCAAATGGCTTCCCTGGAACAGCTTACATATTGTGCACAACTTCTTGGAAAAGCAATTATTTTCCATCCTCACTTTTGAAAGCTTCTTCTGCATCACTGATGGACTTTGGAAAATTGCTGTATAAACTTCACAATTCTCATAGAGACTTTTTCTTTTTTCCTTAACTAAGCCTTGTCAAAGTCTTGCCAATCTTAAAGCATTTTGCCATCTTGATGAAAACAATTACTTGCTCTGGAAAACAGAGCGAGTAAAAAATTGCTAGGCTGCTYCGAATTTTGGTGCAAGTCCTGCTGCAGGACAAGCAGTTGAGAATCTGAACGTCCTGCTCTGCAACTGATTGCACTAGACAGGTACAACATGCTGGTCTTCAGGGAAAGTGCTGTCTCTACTCTAAGTGGAAAAGCCAGTGACCAGCTCATGGCAGCTGCTTCTAGCTTGTCTTGCACTCCTTCTAGGTAAATCAATGTCTTCTTGTGAAGCTGATGCCTTTAAAGCAAACTTCTGATACCTTTTCTTATTGGTTTAGGGGGACCAAGGACAAGCTGGACCCCCTGGACCTCCAGGGCCTCCAGGACCCAGAGGTCCACCAGGAGATACCGGCAAAGATGGTCCTCGAGGGATGCCTGGCGTACCGGTGAGTTAGTGTGCTGCTGTTACAGTGTCCAAATTCCTCTCATACCAGCTTGCTTTCCAAGAAGTTCTGTGAGGTAGAAATAGCGAATATAAAACAGAGACGTCCAATCACAGGCAGGCGACGTGGCATACCTGAAGACAGGGAGACATACACAGATACAGACACACTTCACAGCAGGGCCAAGACTAACACCTAGGCTTCTTGCCTTACATTCCTGTCAGTTTTTCCCACAGATTCTAGAGTTTCTCAGTTGCTCATTCATGTTTTAATAGTAGTAGCTCTGTGAAAAGGGCCTGCCCCACTATGTTAGTAGCAAATGTTTCTACTCCAACTTTGAGATRAAGTTAAATTTGAGACAAAGTCATGGCATGAACTGTTTTGGCTTCTGGTTTATTAACGATTTAGCCTCAAAAATCCTGAAATTCAAGTAATAAATTGCTAAACACTGGCTGTCTAAAGTGTGCTAAAATACTGCAGTTATTTCATTCTTTGAATTAGATCATGACATCTTTACACATGTAGAACAGTACAGTTCTCTTTGGCTTATCCKTCATATTTCACTAGAGCTGCCAGCAGAATCCAGCCTGTTGATTGTTTGTTTTAGGCACTGGATCAGAACCACGACCTTTTGACACTCTGTGATCTCATATTGAAAAGCTTTCTAAACAGATGAACACATGACTTGTTTTCCCAAATGTGATTTTTGTTTTAGATTGTGACCTGTTTTTTTTTGTTGATTTGAACAAAGTACTTCTCTTTTCATCAGAAATGTCCATGAGTTATTAATGTGGAGGACACAGGTAAGCCAACTGAAGTGTCATATGGTATCACATATGTGGCTGCACACACACTTTGTAAGAAAAGATCAAGGCTGTATCTATGAACAGCACTAGAAAAGAAACTTTTTTTTTGAAGGAAAGGTAAAGTGTATTTTGTGAGGCCGAGACAGGAAGGCACAAAACTCCCCTGAAGGGCCTTTTTAGGCCAAGGAAGAAAATAGATATCTAAGCTCCTGTTCTTCCTCTGTTCTGCCTTTTCTTCRGGTTGCCTACTGCAAAATTTTGTTAACCTTAAAAATCTAATGTAACATGGTGGTAATAGTAAGGCTCTGCTAAAACTTCCTGGGACAATCCAATAAGGCTTTAGAATTAAGGGCTGCGTTGTACCTAAGTTTCTGAATAAAATTCAGAAAAGTTCCAGAACAAGATTATGAAATGGCAGTAAAAATCTATTGCTGTCTTTGGCGATAATTCACCCTGCCGTCCTACTCGTTTTCAGTTAGTTCTGCAGCACATCCTTCTTTTGGACCTCACCTGGATAATCCCATGTGTTTGTATAATGTGGTCCTGTTAGACTGCATTCTTCAGAGCTGCTTCTGTTTTGGCCTAGTGATGGTGAGACTGAAACCCCAGGAAGTACAATGTGAATTGAATGCTTGTTGTTTTTTCATTTGTTTGTTTGTGGTTTTTTGTTTTTTTTCTTTTTGTTGTTTTTGGGTTTTTTTGCTCTTCAGCAAGTTGAACATTAGTGTTTCTCATGACAGGAAAGTCATGTGCTTTAAGTGATGAAGTCATTCCATTTTACAGTAGTTTAGTAGTGATTTTGACTTGAGATGACAAGAGAAAGTGTCTTTTTATAGTTTTTTAAACAGTGGCTGTCTTAAGTCCTATAATATCATGAAAAATCAGTTTACAGTACTGCTAGAATCAGATACAAACATGCACTTAGGTAGAAACCACCCAGATGGCTGATTATTGTTACCATCCTGGTCCTTTGCAGTGTGTCCTGTACCCTCAGGTTATTGCTGCTCCTCCTCAGTGGGCTTGTTCCTCTGTGGCTGTGTGATTGCTATTTAGTCACGCAGGAAAACTGTAAAGGGAATACCTGGCCCAAAAGTAGTGACAGCTTTGTGTTTTTAAAGGACATATGGACCTTTCAGTTGAAGATCAATCCCTATTGTTCCAAGCATTCAACAGACGGTAACTGTGAAGGGTTATGAGCATGAATGCTTCAGCATCCCACAGCTGGAGGAGAAAGTCCTCTTGGTCCTTTCCATCAGAGAGAGCACCAAGGAAGGGCAGGGATATAAGAAAGGGTTGTGGCAGCCTCTGCTAAATCTTTATTTGTATGTTGGTAGAAGAAAATGTTGAGACTTGAGCAGATTTGCCTTTGTATAGAGCAATACCCAGCTTTGGTGTTTCCTCTCTCATACTGTTCCTATCACCAGACAGTAGCACAAGGACTTGGAAACTTCAGTACTTTCAAAAAAAGTAGAAGGAGAAAAAAAGTCTTTCCTCATAATTGAGAAACAGAATATGGTGTGAGCCTTTAAAATCCTTTCAGTGTAGAGATGATGTGTCCCACATCATTCTGATGCTGACTTCAGCCTGTGAGATTGCTCTATACGTCTTCAGAGGGATCTGCAAAGTCCAGCAGGCTTGGGTAATTAGCTCTCACCAGCCTGAGCTTGTGTGCTTTCTCTTTCCTGGGTATCTCAGTGTGTTTGCAGGAGGTACATTGCTGCTCCTGAATGCAATGCACGTGTGCCCAGAGAAGCAATTCTGTTTCTTTTTAGCTGTCGAAAAGAAGCGCATTGGCACAGTGCTCATCATTTTTTGACAGTAGGCTTTCTTTTGTGACAAAGCTGCTAAAGATGATCCTGCAGCTGTGTTGATGCAGGAGCACGTGGGCTACCCTATGAATTGTTGGGTTTACAAGGCGATGATCTATAAGCCATATTGCTGAAATGATCAGAACTGTGTTTTTGCATGGGTATTTTTAGCCCATATTGTATGACTGATTCATTTTACTGACTCTATAGTCAGTTATATGTGTGGGGAATAAAGTGGACAAGATAGTTTCTGACTTAATGTAGAGCTGTGCCTATGGAAAGGGAATGCACAGGAAAAACTATAGCTTACCATTTTGAAAGCCAGTACACATATTTAACTGCTGATAATAATTATTACATGGCTTCAAAATCACAATATTCATGTTTTTTTCAACATGATAATTTGTAACAGTAAGTTATGCTTGCTGACTGAGGTGATAACACAGGCTAGTAAGTCATTCTGGAATACATAAAAACTGTGATTCTGGACATGTGTGAAATAACCTTTCTTTGTGTCCTTCAGCACCACTGACTAAAATGGAATATAATTGGAACCAAGGGACTAGGAGTTGTGACATCAATACTTAATTGTTGCTTGGAGTACTATCCTATTAAAAGATTATGAATCAGTGCTATGCCTTGTCTATGATTCGGCCTGTTACTTTAAAAAGAAAATAAAAAAACATATATGCATACTTACTGTGCAGTTAACTGGTGTATTTGTCTAAAAATATAAGAATGAAATTTTAAGACATGTTGATATCAGTTAGAAAATAGAATGTAAGAAATATTACTGAAATTTGTTTTTCTTCTTTTTCTTTTTTTTTATAAGGGTGAGCCAGGAAAGCCAGGTGAACAAGGATTGACAGTAAGTAGTCCTCTTTTCTAAGAGTTTGCTAAGAAATTGCAACAAAATACATATATATTTTTTAAAAATGTGTAACTCCAAAAATCTTTATGACCATTCTTTAACCTTTCTTTGTCAAAGACTATTTGAAATGTTCTCTGTGAATAAAACATGAGAAAGACAGATTTTCTCTTCTAGCATCCAGTTGCCTGACATATAAGGCCAGATTCTAATATCATCTTGCAGGAGTAGAGGAAAATAAAAAAAGGTAGGTGCACAGCAAAATACAAGAGCCACCTCAGTTGTTCCCCCCCTTACGAAGACCCATCCCTGGAGGTACCCGTTTCTCACTGGCTCCAAAGTTGAGCTGTTTCCAATTTGGGGGCAGTGGACAGCACAATAGCTCTCTACTTGCTTAAAGGGGAAAATCCAAGCTATGTTTGGCAACAATTCTGGCCCTTTTCCTACAAGAACAGTGAATATGCAACTTTGCATACAGAAACTCTTATATTATTCTTCCTGGTAACCTCTTTTTTTTTTTTTTTTTTTTCTTTTTTTTTCCTCCCTGTATGTAGGGGAATATAACAGTCAAAGGAATGTGTTTTTGAAAGTATTCAGATATGGGAGTAGATGTTTTCTGTGCCATCAAGAACTAATTAATCCTATTCATTTGGAAACAAATTGAAGCTCCACTGCTTTTAAACCTCCATTGCATTTAAAACAGCTCCAGCCACAGGGTAAGGCATCAGAAATTTCTGACTGTCACATATTCCCAGCCAGTGAGGCATGCAGTGATTTTTTTCCCCTTAGGATGTCCCTAAATACTTACGGTCATTCCTGTTTTTTTTTTTAATGAGAGATGACAGAATTGTAGCCCATGGCACATGGTTTTGGTTCCTGAATGCTTCTCAGTAGGAAGATTCTGGGTTCAGCAGTCTCATCATATATGGTTGCTATCTGTTTGAATTCATAAAGTCTTACACAGGTATGATAGTACATTACTGCTGCAAATTACAGAACATTTTGGATTGTAGTGGGCACATATTTGTCACAGAAGATGAACCGTAGATTCTTAGACTCTGAAATACCCCAGGCACTTAAATCCTGTGGCTTTTCATAAAACAAAACCCGAAGACTCCCAAAGGAAATACACAGAATCACAGAATCACAGAATATTCAAGGTTGGAAGGGACCTCTAGAGATCATCTAGTCCARCCTTCCCACCCAAGCAGGCACACCCAGAGCACGGGGCACAGGGYGGCATCCAGGCGGGTTTTGAAGACCTCCGGAGAAGGAGACTCCACAGCCTCCCTGGGCAGCCTGTTCCACTGCTCTGTCWCCCCAACAGTAAAGAAGTTGCTCCTCACCTGGAGACGGAACTTCCTGCGCTCCAGCTTATGGCCATTACCCCTCATCCTATCGCTGGCCACCAGTGAAAACAGCCTGTCCCCTTCCTCCCTGCATACCAAGAGTTTTAGCAAGTTTGCTGGTTCTTTTTAGATCTGTCCTCTTGATTTTTCATTGCCTATTGTTAATAATGGGCATAATGTGCATAATGGCTGCGTAGGATGTTTGCTTGCTCTGTTTTGCTTGTAATATTCTCCTGTTTGCCCTCTGGATCAAAATTCACTCAGCTTTGACAGTGTTTTCTTTCTCTTCAAGATTGGATCTTCAGGATCAGAAAATTGCAGAGATTATTTTAGGAGCAAAACAATGTCGATAGCTTTTTAGTCCCCACACTCAGATGATTTCCATCATTCTGAAATAACCAGCTATATATAAATACAAAAGAGCTGTTACTCATCTGTTCCTGTACATTACATGACAGTGTGATTAAATGATGTTTTGAAAAGCAAATGAGCAAACTGAGTTAGAAGAAGGTTCCAAATTACTTGATTTCCTAATCTCCAAATGCCAGGTCTAAAAGTATTCTGGTTTCAAGTGTTAAGTATGTGTAGAAGTGTTAAGTTGTGTATAAATCAAATGCAGAAGATCATAATATCAGGAAGGTGATTAATTTCTTTTTATTCTTCTTACTGCCCTTGATATATCCTTTATGCCAGTACAGATTTTCAGACTGTCATGACTGTGGAAGGCGCTGCAGTTACTTGTGTTCTCTAGCTTCTTATGACATTTTTGATCATTTATTTCTGCACATTTCCGTATTTCAAATGGAGATGCCACTGCAGAAATGCACAGTCACGCTGATGGAGTGTGCAGTGCTTGCACACATCTTCAAGGTCCTATCCTGTAAGAAATCAAGCCCTGTGGCATATACTCTAGTTCTTCCGGGTTGGAAGCAGAATATGATCAAGGTGATCACTAGATGCTATGAAGCAAACCCTACAGCTGGGATGAGTTGCAGAAGCTGGTAAAAGTCAAAGGCATTTTATATCCCTTGGGATCATACTGTCATGGTCATTAAAATCAGTGATGCTGTTCAGGTGAAAAAGAGCTTGCAAGCCTGAGCACTAGCTTGCAGTAATGGTGTTAGAAGCTGTCCTTTTTCAACAGTTTTGTAAACTGTTTGGTAAGATGCCATGGTACTTTTAGGGGAATGTACAAAATATTGTTAGAGATGATAAGCTTTAATCTCTGGACCAGCAACTACACAACTTAAAATTACCCAGTTTTCTATTTTCTGTTCTTCCAAGCAGAGGAATAACACTCTTGAAGAGTGAGAGATGGTAGATAATGAGATAACAGCATGTTTTCCAGCTTGTCTCCAAATGTGCCGCAAGCCCATTACATGTAACYTACTCGTGTAACATGTGACCTACTCCTACAATATGTGCCTCAATTCACAAAAAGTTTAAAACACTTGAATGCATATGGAGTTCTGGGAAGTGCTCATATTCTCATTTCAGCAAAATTCAGTCTCTCTGGTAACGATGTGGTAATTTACTCCAACTGAGAATCTGCTGCCACTTCCTCCTGCATTTTCAATGAAGTTCTATGTCAATAAAGTAAATTATGTTTCAGATGATGTTATGTGAGACAGCAGTAATGATTCAGTGCCTTGCTTCATCTCAGGCAGGGAAGGTAGACAGAGAGAATGACAATGTCAGAGGTCTCTTGAGAGAGTGCAGCTTCTCTTGAGTGTGCACAAAGGAATGCACAGAGGAATGTGCCCTCAGAAGAGAATGGCTTCTCTTTTTTTCCCTATTTAGAATGTAAGTGTGTGTGCATTGGGGTAGGATTGAAGAAGGATTGGGTTGACAAATCGGTTGTTGCTTCCAGAGATCTCTTCATGCCCCATTTTTAAGATTATCAGAGTGCCAGGCTGCTTCTGTTCCTCTTATGTGATGTGATTGTGATGTTGTGAAGAGCTACTATCTCCGAAGTTTTTCAATTCTGTTAGTTTGTATGTCAGAAAGGAAATATTTCCTCAGAGAGCCAAGTAGGGAGTGAGTGTTCAGTTCACTTTTGGTATGATGGCGGCTTAGGTTTACATTAAAAAAGGAGTATGTATCCTTCATATTAGAAGGGAATATAAGAATGACTGGTTAGTTGCAGTTTGTTTCGTAGGACGCTTATAAGCCCTGAACAGCCACTCTCTAAAAAAGGTGAAAGAGATCTGAAGTTTTCCCCTGCCTTAAGTTCTTGAAGGAAATTTTTACAAACTCTTGAATGAGTTTTCTCATTCTTGCAGACAGAAGTAAGAGAATTCAGAGGGATGGCGAGTGGTGAGGTGACACCAAAGGAGCAGGAAATTTTGAAACATTATGGAGAACTAGCAAAATATCTACTATGCAAGAGGCAAGGCCTGTAGTTCCCTTCACCTTTCACCCTTTTCAGTTAAATATGTGTGCTGCATAATTCATCTCCCTGCCCATGGCATCTTCCTGATCTTTTCTGACTGTAAGGCCTTTTAAATGCCATATGAGAACTATCTTCTACTTTATCTTGGATGAATTTTGTGTTTCTTCTGAACTTGCAACTTGAATAGTTGCAGACTTTTAATGAGTACTTAAATTGTGGCCAGTGACAGGAAAACTCAAAAATTTGATACATTTCAGTCTGTTAAATTGCAATATAGAAAACACCGCTTGGGATATTATTGTTTGTGATTAACATGCTGGAAGGATTTTTTTGAACATTATTGATGCTGTCATGTTTAGATCTGCTTTCAACTAGTACACAGTGATAAAAAGCTAATATTAAAAATGTGCAGTAATTTTAGCCCCTTGTAAAATAAGTCAATCTTAAATGTTTTTACTGTATGAAACAGCCACTTATTGCCACTGAAAAAATACTAATATTTTCCTCAGAAATTGGATTTAAAAATCATGCAAGTAATTTTAGAGCTGTTTGCAAGAGCAGGACAGTCCAAAACAGCCACAGCACTCAGGTAAAGGCGTCTGTGCAAAAGAAATTAATATTTTATGACTAACTCAAACACAAAATCTCTCTGTTTAAGATGTTTTGTTTGCCAACTAGCAGTTTTGTGCTTACTCAGGCTTCTTGGGCATCTGTTCAATAACGTTAGATCTGTTACTGTTTTTGCTAGTTATTCAAAATAAGGAGGACCAACCTTCTTCCCAAGAATGTGTGAAAAGCAGAAAAGAGCAACTTTGCAGTTAACTGTGGAAAGCACATTTAAAATGAATTAATACTGATTTTTAATCTGATGTAAAAATGAAAAAAAAAAATGAGCATTGAGAGAGCAGACAGAACTGACTGGGAAGCTGCTGGCTTGAATTCACCCTTTCAGGTCAACAGCCAAGGCTAGATGTGTTAGCCTTTGTTAGTTCCTTCGAGAAATTGCTGATAGAGATTTTGTTTTCAATAGAGTGCTGCTGCAGCGCTCTCTGCCTCACTCTGGCAGCATGTTCATACTAAATTTTTCAAGGAGCCATTCTCAGTTTGTTTAGCTGAAAAAGTCTGTGACAAACTATCACAGTCAATGCCTCAGTCCATCTSAGGAAAAAATAGTCTTTGGCATTTTGTAACCTCTGTACTTCACTGTCTGTTGTCTGGGACGTCAGAGCAATGATTAGGAGAATGATGATGACAGATTCTGTCTGAGCACCAATTAATAGTTATTGCTGTTCTTTTCATGAGTGTGTTCAGTGGCTTAGTCAGGAATTATATGAGGTTCCCATTATAATGAATCTCTTTTCTTAAATAGTCTTTTATCTAGGTGATTCATCAATACTAAAGCATTGCACATTTTGATGCTAGTAGTCTAGAAATTACAGTCTTTATAAAGGACTTCTCCAACATGCAACAACACACTTGCAGAGTAATTTTGTGTGCCCATGCATACCAAAAATGGCATCAGTAGACAGAATACTGGCACTGCTGAAGTGAAAGGGAATACCTTGCATGAAAGCTGCAATTTCCTCTTCATGTCCATCTGCTAGTTTAGGTTTCTTTCATAAGTTTTTTSTGTCTGGTAATTAGAAGATTTGTGGAAATAAGGAGATACTTTATGATTCCTCTAGGCACTGAAGTCAATTTATGTGCAATCTCAGGAAAGGAAAAGCTACAGTATGTTGTTATATCCCTATTATATCCCTTACCCAGCAGACCGCCCACAGCTACCAACATCCTCTTGATGTGTTGTTTTTCTTTCCGTTTTTGGTTTTCATAGGGACTCCTCAAAAGCAATTCTGAAGAAATAGGCTGTTCTTCAGTGCCGTATTCAGTAATGCTGACTCGCTTAACCACTAGCAAATATTACAATTAACTTACTGAAAATGAGACCCGATTTAAGTAGCAGTTCTCGAAACCCAGGGCCTAGATGGATTTTTTTTTCCAGCCTAAATAAGAAGGCAGTCTTCCTGCTCACTAATCTGATGATAGCCCAGAGCTGAGTTCTTGAAAAGAGTCCATAGGGACTGAACTGAAGATGCACTGATTTGCCAGTAATGATAGACTGATGTAATGTTAGAAACATGGTCACCTGGACTACTTCCCTACTGCCTCTGCTCTGCACTATGGCCATAAACCACTTGGGTGCTTTGGAGACTGCACATGAGAAATGGATTCTGTTAAAATCCATAGGGCCTTGACTCTTGTATGACATCAAGCAACCTTGTTGAACTGAGATACCTCTTCTCACAATCTTAGTTCATGGGGAAAAGATGGTGGTTTTTTTTTCTTCCCAAGATGAATCTTAATGATTTTTCAAGTATTTTCTGTTGCTTGTAAATGATGGCACAGATTGTTTGCTGGATAAAACATAGTGTTGTATCCTGATACCTCTAATGAGATAGGTGGGGAGATACTGAGCTGTATGCTTCTGTCAGTCTTAAAAACCCTTGGTTGCATAAATCTTGCTTTCATACYGCCAAACAGATATATTACTACAGATGCATAACTGGCTTTTAGCTGGTGTCAGAAACAGAAAAACTTTGGTCTTCTTAATGACGACTGATTTGTCATTATGGGGAGATGGAAAAGATTAGAAGAGGGGAAGGTTTGAGTCTTCCAGTTAGTAGTTAAATCTGTTCCAAAAAAGAAGAGAAAAGGTCCATTGTGCAGCAGCAAGTTTTACTTTACCTTGATGCATAAAACATAGGCTGGTTCTGGTCTAGTCTCAGACTGCTTATACAAGAGGGCAATTTTAATTGGTCATTTAACTTAAACTGGCTACAGTTATTATGTTAATTGATTTTTTTTTTCCTTTGCAGGGACCTCAGGGGCCTGAAGGACAAAAGGTAAAGTATGAACAATAGTGCTGGGAAAGGGGTTGTTCTTCCTGGTGCTAAATTGTGAGCAGCAAAGGAGGGTGGGATTAGCTACTGTACACCACATGGGGGGAGTTAGGTTAGGGTCTGAACTTTGTTTTTGCCAACTGCAACCATATAATGCAAGACATAACATTTSTAATTTTGCAATTATAGGAAGTTCAAGCAATGCAGAACAGACCGTTTTTAGTCTGTCTCTTAACTTTCAGGTGAAAAGTTCACTACACTTTTCTCATTCATGCACTGGAACAACCGTGAAACCAAAGTTAAAACATTGTGAAAGGTAGGGAGATAGAGTTTCTGATTAAATGCCTGTCCTTACTCAAGTAGATCAGTGCCATATGACTAAAAATATGACTAGCAGAAACAAAGGACATAGGTGTTACTGATAAATGATATCTGGTTGTCTGTGCTCAGGTGGTCTGCTGGTGTCTTCCTGTTTCTTCAGGAACCTGAGAACTGACTTCCTGTGAATGCTTTCAGCATTATTTACACTTACTAAAACTGACTCCCYCAGTTTGGTGGAGTGAACTTAGGATTTACAGAACTGTGCCATTAAAACAGTCCTAAATATATGGGCAGTACCACAGCCAGTAAGTGGTACTTTTCCAGCATCTAACCACGGACCACCAAGGCAGGTCTTTTTCAAAAGGTTTTTCAAAAGATAAAAAGTGCTATGGAAAAGATGTAATAAAATTAACTGTCTTAATTTATAAAATGAAACAAAAGAAAAGAAAGTAATAAGTAGTTTTAGTGAATGTGGGAAAGATGTTCCCTCTCTTTTTCTCTGAGTTCATATCTTTAAAGTGATAGCTTGTTTGCATCTGTTAAAGTAGAATTTTTTGAACAAGAAAAAAAAMCTGCTTATATTTAAAAAGCATACAAATATGTGCTTTTTTTGTCAACTATGAGCAGGACAGAGCATACTGAAGAAGACTGCCTTTTGTGATTAGCAATGTGAGAATGTGACAATAAATGCTGCCATTATAAATGTATTCCTTAAGATCCTTGTGATATATTTTACATGTACAGCATTAGCAAAATTGATGTACTGATGTATTTTTTTAAAATATGATAAACTTCTACTTTCTTAAGGACAAGATATAATCAACAATATTTATGCTTTCTGATGTAAATATTTCATAAGAAAAATCAGTAGGTGTTTAAGGTTGTTGACAGCAGGAATTTGATGAAATGAAGGCTCAGTCACTCATATAGCTTAACATCCTCCTGAGCTTTGTCTTCTAGTTTTCTGGGAAACTGATACAAGATGTGAAAATATTCACCAAGGCACCCTTGCACTGGCTAATAGTCATAGCCACGCACTTGGTGAATAGAGGCAAGGGCAAAATGGAAGCTCTGGGAATAAGCAGGAGGACTGGTGTGGGACGTGGGGACAGACTGAAATGCCAATGTACTGAATTTTGCTAGGGTTCCAGTGTTACCGTGTGGAAGTCGACCAGTTTCCTCCTGATCTGCCGCTGTCTTATGAGGTGGTGCCTCTGGAGGTTTCAAATTTGGAGGTTTTAGGGGAGGAGGGTACTTCTTTTACAGGATTATTCCATCCATATTYGCTGATGAACACATACATATACATCCATTCTGGATGCATTTCATTTTGGTTTTGGCCTCGTTTTCTATTCCGTTTGTAGTGCATCTTCAAACTCACGTGAATAAAAGGGCAAATATCATGTACTGGCTCTTGAGTCTGAAAGAAAGCAGGGCCTGCAGGGCTTCACTGAGTGCTCATTTGTATCAAGGGTGATGGGCATCCGCACATTTCACTGTTAGCAAAGTCTCAGCCTTTTCTCAGTTCCCTGACCTCTTTTTAGAGTGTCAGCCTTTCAAGCAAGTATCACATTCATGTGACCTGTTCATACCTTTAGAAATGAAAAATAAAAATAATTCAACTTCATTGCTGCACAACACTTACTATAAAAAGGAAAGAGAAAGCTATGTAAGCCCATACAATTTTTCTGCTTTCTTCATGCCTCAGGTTTTCACTGAATACCCATATTGAGAGGTGCACAAATTACTACAATAGAAACTGTCCATCACACAGAAACTTAAAGTTTGTGCCAGAGCTTTGTAAAAAGACTCCTACAATGTCACAACTCAGTACTAATATTTTGCTTTCCTCCTTTATGTCTGCTCCTTGTGTCTGGCCTCTGATTGGTTTTTCAATTTGAATTGCATTTATTACCAAGTCAATTTAAAAAGCATTGCTTCAGTTTGCACTGTCAGGCTAAATTGTTCAAGATTTTCTCTTGAAATTTAATTCTTAAATTTCTTGTAAAGTGCCTACAACATTAGAAAGCATCCACCACCAACTTCAGGTGTCCTTCTGAAGTAGGACAGAGTGGGACAGTCATTAAATGGGCGGTATATGGACATGTCTAATTAGTATAAAATATAAGCGGGGAAGAGATCAGTGGAGTAAAAAATATTTCTTGAAAAATGTGTTGCCTTTCTAGGATATGCAAGCGTTCGACATATTTTTTAAATACTCAAATGAAATGTTTCATGACCTGCTTAATTTGGTAAATGTGGTATCGCTTTCCCTCTAGGGTTCTGTTGGAGTGCCTGGGGTACCAGGGAGAGACGGACAAGTGGTGAGTTCACTTGACTGCATCAGCACTGAACTTCTGTACGTAATAGATTGAAGTCAGTCAGAGCTCATCCACATGAGCAACATGGAATAGTAAATCCAAAGTTGTGATCTCAACTGCATATTGTGTCCCAAAGTCACTTTTTTTTTCTGTTWTTTTTWMACTWAAATAGGCCATAAGTGTAATTGTTTAAACTAAAGGTTTGCTTTTTGTATTGATAATGATTAATGKAAACCAGAGAGAAATGCACRTTAGTCATGTACCACTTCAGACAGTGTATTGAGAAATTTCATTTTTCTGCAGGGTTATCTTATTTTCTATAAGCTCAATTGTGTGATGTAAACAGGYTACCATGGGGTGTTTATACGATGCCAATCACAGTGTTAATGCAAGGTATAAATAGAGAATAATAAGAAACTGGAAATGCAGGTAAAAAATAATAGGAAATTGAAATTTGGGAAAAAAATGCGGAGAAATTTATAATAATATTATTTTTTTTACAAAATCTTCCATAGCTGGGAGTATTAACTCAGGCAAGTCTGTGTCATGTTCCAGTGCCATCACCAACTTGATTCATGGTTCAGAACGGCTCTCCATAAAGAGAGGCTGCAGGAAGACAGCAGGGGTGTTTTACCACCTTGCTAGGGATGGCTGGCAGAGCTGCAGAGTGAAGCGCACATAATAGCTCTTCCCTGSCTGTAAATACTATTATCCTTCATTATCCTTCTACTGCTCTCACAAGCACTAGCGCTCATACTGAACTTCAGAAGCACTCGCAGGGATACTAGAAGAAAAAGTTATAGTCCATTCACTGTGTTTAAGGAGCAATGAGTGACAGTGTACAAAATTAATATTATTCAATACTTTTTTCCTGACCTTCCTCCCAAGAGTCCCAGGAAAAAAATCAAAGACATTTTAAAGTTTAATTTTAATTACTGTTTCCTAACAGAATAAATGTTCCATTTCTAATTCTGTAAATTAGAGTATTATAACTTTCTTTGGACAGTGGTGATAATAAACGATTTAATAATCACTCTTTACTGCTTTATTGATAGCTATGAACCTAAGATTTTTGTGATTTTGAGAATGTTTTAACTGCTGCCTAATAACAACAACAAATTAGAATTAGCTATATTTTACACAAAAGAAATTGTAAGAAATTGTTACAAAAATAACTTTGCTTTGCAGACTTGAGATTTTTCTGTGATATTTTTTGGCCATGTTGAGTTGTGTCATGAATGGTAGATGGTAAGGAACTTTACTCACATGAGCGTAAAAATGGACATCAGTGAAATAATTTAAATGTATAAAATCTATTTGATCAGCAAGCATTGTTTGGGGAGGTTCAGATTTTTTTAAGGTGTTTTGGTAAAGCTCAGGTACATCTGTTTTTGAAAAAACAGATAAATTTGCTGGTATTCAGCTTTCATGAAAAAGAAAGAAAATGTGCATTTGCATTTGATACATTGCATCTTCAAATGATTTTTTTCTAGCTTTAAATTTCAGCTTTAAAATAGATCCTAACATTTTTAATTTATGGTTTTATTTTTATTTGATTGATTTCAATATTTGTGGCATCTAAAACACTGAAAGCAATTCTTAAATAGTTGCCACTCGATAAGATAGTCACTTCTTTTTTAATGTAGTTTGACTCTCTTACTTTAGATCTGTAAGTAAGAAAAGCCATATTACTAAATTGGAATTTAAATACTGTGAGAAAAACCATACAGATAGAAATGAAATGGATTCAAATTCTTTGGGCCGTTTCATAGTTGTTAGTTTTGACTACAAGCATTTCATGATGCTCCCAGAATATACTAAGCAGACAAATATTGAATGTTGAAATCTGTTCTAGTAAATGGTCAAGTCCTGCCAGTGTGGAAATACTCTTATAAAGAAAATCAAACTAAAATACTATTTATCTGAATTTAGTATTGCTAAATATAATATAGCACAGTACTCCATATTCCTACCAAAAGATGGATTCTTTCAAATTATATGCAAAACCAGATTCTTAGTATAGTGTTCCGCAGAAGATAGTGTTGACTGAGGCCCAGAGCATTAATTTTAGTGTCAGAGTTTCCCTGCTTTCCAAATTTAGATACAGACTTTTGAGGAGTCAGTATTTACACTTACAGAGTTAAGTTAGAGTTGTGCTGTACTGTAAGCTGTTTGCTTGTACTACTGGCGTTTCTTGTCTAGATTCATGTTGACTTGGCCTGAAATCACAGTGTAAGTCATCCACTTTTATGAAGCCAAAGGGTTAAAAGGCTTCAAGAAAGCCTCGAGTTGATAGCCTTTTAATCAGTGAGCTGTTGTCAGCATGTGCAGTGCAAGAAGCTCCTGGTTAATATTTTTTCAGGCTTTAAAAGGCAGTGAGTGTTAAGCACATTCCTAAAATTAAGTGTGTGTGAATGCTTTCCTCACTGGCCACTGAAGTATATTTCAGCTGATGAATGCTGTCATTGAATTTAGCTTTGTTCTTCCCTTGAGCAGTTGAATAATAGAGAGCTAGGCCGTGTCCATCATAAGTGCGTCTCTAATTTTTCTTTCCATTTCCCTTCACTTCTTCCTTAATTGAAGTAGTGGATTACAAGAGACAATTGACAACTCTGACCAATTGGTCTAGGAATTAGTTCATAAATTCTGAGTGCACTTAGTACAATTTCTAATCCCTTAACACATGAACCACTTTTCAGAGACAATCTCTAAATATTAGAGTAAGTGTTACTTTACATGATCCACATGTTTAAGCAGGAGTGTTAACTAGAAGATTTTGTTCCACTAAAAGTACTGGCACAGTTATTCTCAGGAAACATCGTCGCATTATTCTTTTAAGCCAAATCCAATGAAACATTAGAAGTATTCTTGCAAGGATATTTACATTATGTGTGATACGTAAATCAGTAACAGGATATAATTGCTTTTAGGAGATTTTAGCAACTCTCTTTAGTTGATAAATGTAACTCGAAAAGAGCCACCTAATAATGCTGCTCAAAGCCCTCTTGTCTCTGGGACAGGCAGAAACTTTTCAGAGAGCAAGGAGGTGCCTCTGTGCATTCCCTTCCTTTGCAGACCAATGTGCAAGCAACCTTGTAGCAAATTGCTAAGAAAATAAACTTTTTTTTTTCTCAGGCCATTGGAATAGAAGGAAGAAAAGGATCTCCTGCATGGAAATACAAGATTGCGTGATTACTTTTTGCCCCATGTTAATTCTTACTCTAATTAATTCGTATTTCCCTGTATAGGGGAGGCAGTTTGAAAGCAGTATTATCCCTTTTCTTTAGAGAAATGAGGAAGTGTATGTGTGTATGTGTACAAACATGTATTAAAAACAAAAAAAGAGAAATGAAGGAAACCTCATTAGAAGAAGTTCACAAATTCTCAGGCAGACTTGCAGTCCAGCTGAGTCTTGTTCAAGTGTCTTTTCACTTAATTTTAGCTGCTGAGTGGGCCAGGAGAAATTTCCAGTGCTGAAACAAAATTAAGTTACTTTTGAGGGGATGAAAAGCAAGTTGAAAGGAGGTAAATCAAGTCTGGGTGAAATGGAAATCAGAGTAACATGCCTGAGAAACCACTTTTTCCCCTTTAATAACTGTCCTCATTTATGTATATATAGAGTAAAATTAGACTGGATTAAGTTTGGGGGCCTCTTATGTTTCCTTATCCTTAAAATTGATTACATTCTAGTGACTGAAAATTTTAGCAATAGCAACAATCTGTCTTCTCAGGATGAGGTGGAAACCAACCAGCTGCTATAGACAGGCATTTGCCCAAAACTAAATTTGTCACAGAACAGCAACCTACAGTCTGTTTTTCTGTTAAAGAAACAAGAAAAGTTGTTTTATGAGCACTTTTCTTATATTGACAGCTGTACCCAAGAAGCACCGTGCTTGGCTGCAAGGGCTGCACCTTTGAATGCTGATCAAAATCAGTTTCAGTTCTGCGTATGTGTTGAGATTGCCCCCGTCACCAGATATGCAAGCAAGTCTTTACACTTGCTCAATGGACAGGATGTTTTGCTCAAGTTAATACAAGAACACTCATGTCAATAGCGGGTGAGAGAGCCAAGAGTGGAACCCAGATGTTTTACTGTGCTGGTCAGAAGAACATCCTCCTTTTGACTCTTCGTTGAGTCATCTGAACCTCTGGAATCAAATTGCTGAGTTAGGTATATTCTTTTTGGCATGTTACCATTTGGTTTTCTGTGGTAATTAGGATCAGCTGGAGGATAAATACAACATTTGTGTGTCTTAAAGCAGTTGTTTCAGCCAATTCTAGAAATCATCATGTTTTTAAGTAGTTGGTGTTCTGAGTAAGTTGTTCAGTCATGCCTTGACATCACAGCTTGCTGCTGCAAGTTTTCTTTCTAATTCATTGTAGTAGTGACAGTAACTTAGCTCGTTAGAGAGCTGCTGCCCTTGAGGAACTGAAGTGCCTGTTCTCCCATCCGGGCACTTGGGGTTAACATGTGGAACTTCCATCAGTGTTAATGGCAGCTCCACAGCCTGGCTCCTGTAACATGTTAACACCTTTATTGCTATTGACAGCACGCACCATGTGGCAACGTATCTGGTAGTTGGACAGTCAATATGGCACTGATGGAGACCCTACAGTTTCCCTATAGTATGTAAGAAATGACAACAAAACGCCATGTGTCTGCAACRTTCGTGTTCTGTGTACTTGAGCATTCACACTTCTGATGCGTAAAACTGCTTGATTTTGGATGAGTGGATGAACAATATGAAATTTTCTGCAAATTTTGATTTCTACTGTCCTGAGGCTATTTTTCAATTCAGCAAAATGGATCTGAATAACTTCAGATGGTGACAGTGAATAAGTGTCACCTCATTCCAAGCTTCTGATGGTGGAGTCTGTTTCTGTGATAGACAAATGGCTAAAGGATTATGTTCCATACTACAGTTTTTAACATGACGCTTGGAAAAAGCACATTTTCCAGCATTGTCTATCTGTACACTGCATCATGTCATGAAAAATCCCTCTTTTTGGGATTGGTCCAGTCACTTGAAGGCATGAGACAACAGCTTTGTGTGAAATAGTAGTTAWAGGCTATTTCTCTACCAATCCCGATGTCAGTTGCATCTCATCTTGCTGAGGGRTGACATCACTGAGCAGTACGTGGAAACCCTAGCCCATCTTCATGTCCTGAAGATATGAACACCCTTCATTCTTGCAATAAAGCTGGATTCATTTTTATTGTGGTGCATCATTGTGCCATGCAGTGTTCATTGAACGGCACAGTTCCTCTGGGGTGGTCTAAGTAGGAAGGAGGGTAAAGGAGAAGGGCAAAGAGGGCAAGTCATTTCTTGGGCTGGTACCTTGCACCGAGTGCTGCACTGCACTGCTGCCCTAAGGGAAAGACGCCAGGGGAGTGTCCCGAGGGCAGCTTCAGTCCCTCACCTTGCCTCTTGTGGAGGCGGCAGGAGGGCCCTCGCTGTCATTCAGCCTCTCTCCTGAGCGGCAGTTCTCAGCCGTTCATGAATGCAGAGAGGCTGTGACTAAACTTAGATGTGTTAGACGCAAAGTCACTCTGCAAGCAGAAGACAAAAATTGCATATCCTGCCTCAATCTGAAAACAAAGCGATGTGCAGAAGGCACTTCATTTCTGCAGCTGAACGCCTTCATTACCAGCACTGCTAAAGAGAAACTTAGCAAGAGGTAGGAAGCACGTTAGTGGCCTGTTGAATGCAAAAATATGAGAGGTTTGATATTTAACTTCATGGCTTCTTTCATTTTATCAGCTTGAAAGCCTAATTGAAATTATTGAATGAGATGACACTGTTGAATGTCTAGTTTTCTTGCACATGTATCGTTCCTTGAACAACAGTGTAAAGTCTTTGACCTTATAAATGGCATCTGTAGTTTTGTTCTTCTGTAGACTGTGTGAGGCTGAAAAATATTCATGAAGGATTTTACACCTTAATTTTAATAGAAGTTTGACAAAAAAAAAAGTGATAAATCATACCTAATAACAAAAGGATTTAAATTTTTTTTTTCTAAGTATCAAAATGATGTTTTGAGACCAGTGTTCCTGAAATAGCATTATGTTTAAGTATGTAGTTGGAGAAGAGCTATCAGTTTGCTAGCTTTCAAAATGTTAGGTGTTGTTTTGCTTTATAACTGCTGTTGGAATTGCCTCACCATTGGGATGGCTTTGGTCTGTTTGGTGGGTGTTTTTTGTTTGTTTGGGGACCTTTAAGGCATTAATGAGATTATTAAATGTCTACACATAAGAGCAGACTCTGCCATGCCTTCAGGATATGCCGGATGGAAAAGGAAGCTCCTTGGCACAAAGACCCATTACTGTGCACTGAGAATGTCCACAGCGGGTTGCGTGTAGAATAGTTAGTGTGCTGAGCCCTTCATCTTACTGCTCTGATTCCTGGTACTGATGACACAGTGAAGGGGATGCTGTGAGTGTGACTGAAATGACTTTGGAATAATCGCTGTGGTTCTGGCCCTTAGAAATAGGAAAGGATAATCCCTACAAAGTAGAAAAGCATGGGGTCGTTTTTGTGTTTTCCTGGATCTGCTTTCGGTCCTTCCTTTCCTCAGAACTCCTCTCCAGTGTGATGATGTCTCTGACTTGAAGAGCCRGGAGTGCAGAGGTGGCTATAGAAGTCACGTATGGATCAGCAATGAGACTGGCAGTGCAAACAGGGATTTACTCTGACTAGCTAACAGCCTGAAATTTTCACTTTTTTTCAGAGAAAATAAAATGATTCTTATCTCTTGTTATTCTGCCTCTTCTAGCTACAGAATTGGCTTTAGGCGTTTATTGCACTGATACATAAACCTAGGAGTAAATTGCAAGCTTGAGACTTAGACGCTTTGATTAGAGACTTAAGCTCCTGAAAGCATCAGCAGAAAGCAGCTGTTTTAAAATGAAGGGGACAGGAACAAACTTCTTTGGGGTAGCATAGTGAGGACAAACAAATGCATATTCACATGGCGCTTTTGCTTTGTTTTGTCAGCTGACAGTTTTCTTGAAGTGCCTTTCAGGTCAGTCCTTAAGGCACTTCTGCCTAATCTCCAACAGCTTCAAACCTTGGCCACTCACACACAAAATGCCTGCACTACAGTATCAGCTTAAAGCTGCTACAGTACAAAGGAGCCTTGACCAGGGCCAGACTTAAATGGTTATTTAATTCCATGCAGGTTTCATGGTAGCTTTTTCTCAGGATTGAAAAATCTCACTAGTATTTCACAGCTAACATTTTTCTGCAACTTTGAAAATATCCCACTCATGTTTCAAAAGAATTGTAATCATTTTAATATCACAGAACAGCCCAAATCATGGTGACATAATGTGTTACGTATTCCTATTAGCTAATTCAGAAGCAGAATAGAACAGAATTTTGTACAGAACCAGTGTTTCTGTCTGTGATGTGAGACTGTGTAAGTAAGAGAGAGAGAAGCCCCTTTTTAATAAAAGACTTGAAATATATCTGCTGTTGCAGATATAGCCAGCTTCTATCTGAACTCTGCTTTAGCTTTTGACTAGTCGGTTTGTCATAAAATTGCCGAATTGTCTATAAAGGCAGAAAAATTATATCCGCTCAGTTTGAATACTCTATAAAAATAGTCTTCTGAGTTTCTGTTATAAATTACTGAGGTTTATGTAACATTTCTAATTTGACTATCTTGTTAGTTATTGAATTAAACTCTTAAATACTTTTTATACGTTCATAATAATAAACAGCTTAGAGAACAGCCTTAGTTTTTTTCAGATCTTTCTTGGATGCCATTTTAACATGCTCCCGGAAATGCAATGTGGTTGGGTAGATGAGGGTTACCAGAAAAATTATCTTTACTTGTGAAACTGAGACATACTTCTATAAAAGGTGTTGCTCGGTTAGTTATCATCCATAGTAGTTTTTAATTAAGGCAAGTCACTTCTTTACCATATTTCTTAAAAAAAAAAAAAAAAGTAACTCTGTTTTTCTCTGTAAGTTGAAAAAATCAACACCAGTATTAATTTTTTGGGAAAAGAAAAGTTTATAAATAATTGTCATTTGTTGATTGACTTAAAAAAATTGTTTATGACTCCTCCAGTTGTGAGAGAATATATATTCTGTTAGTGTACCCAAAATTGGGATCACTGTTATTCAAACATGAAATTTTTAGTTTTTCTAAAATGTACTTTTCAGACAGTTGTACTAGACTATGTAAAATAATCAAGCAAGCTAGATTAAAAAACTAAAACCTCTCCAAGTTCTCCCATTTCTGAAACTGGTCCTTCTAACTTTTTTTCCATCATCTGGCTTCCATGTGAGACCAGAAGCACAAATGTCAAAATCACTTAAGCTTTTCTTGTGGTATTTGTAGGTATTTCTTCTTAGGGAAGAAAAAACAATTGGCAAACTTGCTAGAAATACTATGTTCTTAAGGTTAGTTTCCAACTTTCCAGATCAAAAGTTGTGTTTTCAGTTTTGTTACCTGTGCATTTTATCTTTGTTTGTAGAATTATTTACATATTAGAGCTGACTATAATTAATCTACTCCAGTAAATGAAATAAGGTAGATGAGGGCCCAATTATAAAGTACTTACTCAAACTGAATTTTTAAAATTTTTCGTTATTATCTACCCAAAATAGGACAGTAGGTGAAATGCTGTTAATGTACTTCATCGTGTCCTCCTCAACTTCATCTTTTGTTTCCTTTGCCTTTAGGGTGAACCAGGTTTGCCTGGTGTAGCAGGAGAGAAGGGAGCAACAGGGCTTAAGGTTAGTATTGAAAATGGAGGGATACCAGAAGCACACAGTCTGTGAGTGAATATAGATGACAGTTAAGCTTTCTGACTGGCATTCATATCCTGACTGGCTTTTAATGATCTGCTCATTCCAATGATCAGTGTTATAAAAGGCTTTACACACTTCACCATAAAGAAGCATATTCTTCTGCCATGCATGTGTAATTCCAGCCAGTGGCACTGACGCATACACATCCACTGCCAAGCAAATGCAGTATGCTTGAAGTGTTTGGGAATTTGGGGACCTTTTTAAAAGGCTTTGTTTATACTCCTTACAATGCGTTTCAGGCTTCTTTTCAAGAAGTACTGTGGTCAATTCTTTGACGAATGTCAGGGTTAAGTCTTGAGGGCTGATTCTGCTATTATGGAAGTCAACGACAAACCTCATTAGGAGCATGTCTGGGTCTGTATTTGTTACAGCAAAATGTCTCTATTTTTAAGTAATTTGGTTTGCTGTTTTAATGTTGAAGAAGTGAAATAGAACATGCAAAAAAGGGTTATGATGACTTTGTTTAAGAGAAGGTTTGCTGTGTCTGAGATGATGAGGTCTGTGGGCCTCAGAGCGATAATACTGAATTCTAATCCCATCAGCTGCGAGCGTCTTTGGTGCACATTTACAGCTCAGCTGATGCTGGGGATCACACTGCTGCTGACAGGCATGGGGGCAGACTCTTTGCATTTACTGACTGGCTGCTTTTCCATCAGGAATGAAAGCAAATCATCTGGGAGCATAACCTTTTCTTACTTTGTGTACAGAGGAAGCCAAATTATGGCAATTGATGTTTAATTCATGTTCACAAGTGTATTCCTTGAGTTGCCTAGCGACCACCAGCCATCAGGAGGGGCAGAGATGTGCCAGTGGCCAGAACTGCAGGCCACTGCAGTTGTCAGGGTCAGGCTCAGGGTACAAAAGTGCGTTTGCCATTGAACCAGTTACAACATTAAAACATAATGCTAAAAAAAAGCAAATATTTTTTACAGAGGATGTTAGGAGCACTGAGAGCTCTTTCAGTTGATTAAGAATTAGTTCAAGATTGCGTAAGGTTTTGTTTCTCCTTCTTCTAAACCATTAATTGAATCATAAGACTTTCCCCCTTACATTTAGCCTTCTGATTTTTGCCTTCATACATTCCCCAAATAAGGAGAAGTGAACCTAGGAGTCACCTCTGTCCTGGTAGGTCACTTCACAAAGACATATGTCTGTTTGTCAGGGCTTAATCTAGAATAAAACAGGACATCTCCACCCTCTGTCCCAAAGAAGGTAGGCCTTACATAGAAATCTTTTGAAATTGTGTTGGAGTTGTATTGTTTATTGGGTTGTTCTATTACACTTACTGATTTTATTGTTTCACGAGGATTTTATTGTTTGTTTTTTGCATTTGAGAATGTCATCAGATTTCCACTTGGAGTCATTGGCTGGCATTGTTCCCCGTAATGTTAGGGAATCATCCACTGTATTAARCAAGTTCCAACTGTTCTCGTGCATCTTGCATATTAAATAAATTGTCTGATGTTTCCTGACTCTTGCATATTACTGTTTGTGTATTTTGTGTGTTAGTAACTTAAGACTTCTGTGCTCTGATTATGTTAATCAGGGTGACCCTGGAGAGAGAGGAGAAAAGGTGAGGCATTTTTCACTTCCTTCATTTTTGTTCTGTTTTGGAGACCTGCAAGTGCACTGATTCTGAGTTTAAAAACAGACAAACARCAGCAGCAAAATTACTGCTACCTGGAACTTCAGAGCTATTGTGCAGCCTTTATTAGTATCAAAAATACTAATACAAGTTACTTTACAGAATTCAGTGGGATTGTGCATGGACAATACTGGACGTGCCTTAAAGGCTGCACAGTTGATGCAACTAATCACAACAATGATTAGTTTAAAAAAATGAGCCTGCCTAAATGAGAAAGCATCTCATTTATTGGTTTTGGCGCTCTSTTTTCTACAGGGAGTAGTCTATTGTATAAGCAATTAGGTGACAATGATAACCTAGAGTCTAGATGATCTGATCTTGTTTATTTTGGAAAATAAAGTAATAACTGCAACTTCTAATTTTTTTTATTTTTTAATATTTCTATCTGTAAAAATTATGCTGTTTTTTTAAGGAGAGACAAACATCCTTTGTCTCTCCTTAAAAACTGTAATTATGAATGCCCTCAGTATGCAGAATCATGTCTAATGGACTCAGAATAACATGCCTGACAGTTACCCTTGCGTATTTTTGTGCCTCATTGGGCTCTTAATTAAAGTGCTGCTAGATTGTTAGTTCTCGTTGTGTTAGAGACTGTAATAGACAAAGTGGGCTCCAAGTCCTCTGAAAGAATTTTACATTAAAGTATTCAGTATTCATACTGAATAAATAATGTTATTAGAATACTGCTGCTACTGGTATATGACCAAGACCTACTCAAATGTTTTTATTTAGGGTCAATATTTATCAATATTTTTAGTATTTTAAATATCTCTTGCACCTTCCAGGAACCTCAAGTTCCACTTAAGTTTTTGACCCAGATTCTCATATATAATGAAGGTTTATTTTGGTGTAATCTGGTGTTTTGAAATAGCTGACTTATTATAAATGAAAAATAGATATTTTTATAGACAAAACCTGGAAGTGCTTGTTTAAAAATCTGTTGTTAAAATAGTAAATGCCTACCAAGCAGTGAAAAAGACCAATGCTCAGATAATGTCTTTTAATAAATAATTTTTAGAATTTATTTACAAGTAATGTCTGTTTTGTGGTTTCCTTGGAGGGGTGAAATGCAGCATTTTTTTTCTAGTTTGTGAATAATTGATGGGGAAGTATCTGAAACAGCATATATCATAAATCACATAGGAATGCTAATAAAACGTAGTGGAGTTTGATTTTGATGAGATGCATTTAGGTGAAAGTGTTGTGTTGAAATGTGTTTTAGGAATTTAAATATTGGATCATCATGAAATCATTCCTTCACTAAAGCATAATGAACTGCRGAAGTCTGAAGACCAACAAGATAGTTATTTGGTAGTTTATGCTTTTTCAGGGTCTGTAAAATTCTTTATAATTACAGGAAAGATTGCAAAAAGGCAAAGATAGAGCAACTGTATAAATTACCCTTCTTGAGTATGTCTTAAGGAGATTAACTACCAGATTAGTACTGTTAACTTGCTAATCAGGTTTCAATGCTGACTTATCTCTGAATGCTGTGTGTTTACAAAAAAATTATTTTAAAATAATACGTATTTTAATTATAGGGTGATGCTGGAGAAAATGGACCCAAGGGTGACACAGGAGAAAAGGTATACTACTAATTAGTAGAAAAGAAAGCATGTGTTTTAGATGTGTTTACAGCCTAACAGCTAATGAAAAAAAATGATGTGATCAAAAGGAGTGTGCATTTTAAACAGTCCTTTAAAGGAGTCGTGTGATTTGGAGCAAGTTCATCCTGTGAACAACAGAAAAAACGTCACTCATTTGTCTAATTAAGCATAAAGTGCCTGACTCTCTGCAGCAGCAGCCTCAGTTCAGGATACGCAGGCACAGCRCTAGTCAGGGCTCGTCTCTGTGAAATGCATCTTGTGCAGCAAGCTGGAGCATAACCTGCCAGGCAGTTCATGCTGCATCGGGGGAGTTCTGTTCTTTGCTGGTCCAGCCTCGCCGAAAGCATCGCCCATTCTGTGTTGCCCTCCAAAGAAGGGACCAGAAATACGCTGTAGCTGTAGCTAACGTCCTCACACATTGCCAGCTGGACAGAATTCATTGAAGAATAGATATTGCAAAAGAAGATGTTTTGTTTTATATTGTAGAGAAAAAAAAAATGAACTTGTATTCTTAAAGGTTTTTAATTCATGTAGGTCTTAAGCCTTATTTCAGCAAAGTCAGAGCCAAACCATTGTTGTACAGAAAGACAAGGTCACTTATAATGGTCTTCAATGACAATGCAAGTTTAGGTATTCTTAATATATATTTTTGCGTAAAAGTTCTTGTTAGTATTATTTTGAGATTCCTCTCCGGTTCATTTTAGTTACAGCTCTTGGGCAGAAGTATAAATAATGTCTTCTTTACCTCCTGCTTATTTAATTACATAACTGACTAACTTCAACTGACTTCAGAGTATTGTAAGGGGCTATTTTTGGTCAGTTAATCAAAATTCATGTTTGCCAGGTAATTAAACATCTCTGATGCTATCATATGGAAACAGGAAAGCTATGAATTCAATAACACAAAGATATTATGGGACTTAGTCTAAGATCAGCAGTTAAAAATAGACATTAGGTTTAAGAATAATATGTTGTTTGATGCCTAGGGTTAATTTAAATATGTCATCTGCAGTCATACTTACTAATCCAGATGAAAGTTTTAAGAACTTCATTCAGTTACTTATAGAGTATGTGCAGATAAATGTCTTCTTGATCTATTTTTATGCAATGTAAGAATATAATTGCTAGGCACATGAGATTGTTGTCAGATGGATAGTCTGACAAGAAAATGGAAAATTTATAATCTCCCTGGTAAGCCTAGTGAAGCTTTGCTTGCTGCTTTCCTGCTGCTTCAGCTGTGAGTGGGCAGTCGTCCATCCACAGCGCCTGCCGTGCGCTGTGGTCTGCAGTGTGCGCATCTCCCTGCTTGGGGTCTTGTTTAAGGAAACAAAAAATACTCTCTCAGTGGAAAAAATACTCTCTCCCTCTCTCAGTGGAAAAGCCTTTCTTCCTGAGTATGATATTATATATATTTCTGTGTAGAACTCTAAATGGTTCAGCAGTCTATTTGGGATCTTCTTGTAGAAAGTATAGGTCACCAGGAGGCTTTTTGTAACATCAAGAAATTTGTTGGATTTCTGTAATTCAGAAGTGTCCCATCTCTTGCAGGCTTCTTCTAATGTCAGAGATGGGATGGAAATACATGCTATTTGTATGGAGTCCTTTGCTTTAGCAGTGACAGGCTGGCATGAGCATCTGCAGCGTGAATTTTCAGGACAGACTAAGCAGGACTGTGCTTACTTACTTGGTTTTCTTTATTTTCCCTCTTTTTTCGTGCCTGCAAGTCAATCTGCCAGGCAGAAAAAAGATCTGGATCTTCTAGAAGGGCTGCAGCGTAATGTTTCTGAAAGATAACTCTGCCAACAGCACTTCAGTAGGGAGCTTAGGAGGATGCATTTTGACAGATAATTTAGGAGTGAGCAATTAATCTTGGTGTCATTATACTACATTTGTACTACTAAGCAAGCAATGTATTCTTTACTCTTCTTGATCATAACGGGAAGCTTTTGCTGTATGATATTTTGTATTATTAAGGCAGAGGTGAATTTGCCTAGTAATTGCTAATCATGTTTATGTGAGAGAAAATCTTGCCTGTAAAGTATCCTTGATTTTTCCCCCTGCCACCACTGCCCTTTTCCTTTGCTATGTATTCTTTCCTATATTGTGTCCGCAGTTTGCCCACTGGGGTCACAGTGATCCTCACGAGGCATCTGATTTGCCTTGACTATTGTACAATAATGTTGGGTTTTCAGGGAGCTCAGTAGGAGTCTGCAGGTTTTTCAGTGGAGCAGGAAAACAGCACAGAAAACGAGGTCCTTTTCAGTTGTCTTAATAGAAGCAAATGGGACTGACTTCCTGCAAATTTTGCAACCAGTTTTATTGATGTGTCGTGCTTAATGTATCTTAAATGATTTTTCCTTACTGCACAACATGTGCCTTGTGTTTGGGTAGCCCTGAAACGTCTAGAACTATACATAATGTAAATTCAGAAGTACAAGAGTACTGAGAGTTTTTGGCAACTAAACACTTGCGGAAGGGTGCAACATTTATTAAGGCTCATTTTTTAAAGACTGTTTTTMAGAGATCTATTGCTCAGAGATGAGGGAAGACTGGTGCCAGTTTAGTTATATCCCAGAAGTTCAGCCATATAAATATATCCTCTCTGCTCAGGAAACAAACCATAAAATTTATATAGAGAAAGAGGCCATTGGCGGAATCRTAATGCCATGCATGACAGATATCATCCACAGATCACGAAATTTAAAAACATTTCTTTAAAAGATAAAATAATGTTCCTGTGAGATAAATGCTACATTTTCATTTATATGACGAGAGAGCACTCAGGTGACAACAGTTTCATACTTTGTCTGGGACTGGGTTCCTATTTGTGCACTTAACTGTAGCTTTGTTTTCTGACTTGTGGCATCAAGTGACTTTCAGAAACATGAACTTGGCTACCTATTTTGACTTGTTTCTTTAAAAAAAGGAAATTGCCTTTCCTGAGTTGTCCTGCTTTGGAGACAGTGCCAATGTCAAACTTGAATTCTTTGTTCTACTTTTCTGCTGTAGCATTTGGCCCCTGCAAGCTACCAAGTATCTTTCTTTTCTGTGTGTGTTCTGCAGAATTCTTCATTTCCAAACCAATTGACTCATTATAGCACTGAGAACATGCTATATCATAATTGTTTAATTCCATATTGATTCTCATTCTTGCATGAAGATGAACTATAATTCTGTGTGACTTATCTCCACTGTATCCATTATTATACTGTACAACGTTTAACTTGTGAATGTCTCTTAACAGTTGCTTTGCCACTTTATAGCTATAAAAAGCCCTTGAGTGGTTGCAGTTGTACATGCTTATGAGGGATATCAGCAGAATCACCCATGCATGTCTGTCAAAATGAGGCAGCTCAGGTTTCCAGGCATGAATCAACCTTTCATCAAACTGCCTTTTGTTTTTGCTTCGCACAAGAGAGATGTACATTAACTGCAGAGGAAATCTAGCCTTAGTCTTCAAAAAGCAATGTACATGTTATTTGGTGTAATTTAATTCTATTAGACTACTACAAAAAATCTGCCTCCAAACCAACTTTATCAGTATGGYATTAAAAAAACAAAAAATCCTTCATCTTTATTGAACCACTAGGAACTGGTAGTCACTGTATGTATTTTAATAAGAATATTTAGCATTTATATTCCCCGTAAACATGTCAAAGTGCAGTGCAGCATTGGTTATYTTACTGACTGAGTGAATCACTAGAATGCTCTTGGGGAGCCTGAAGTTGGTACTGTGTAGCAATTCATCWAGTTCAATGAATAATCCAAATTTATTTTGAACAATTACTACAGAAAATTCTGCAAATGGAGGCAGTCTACTGATCTCCAGTGATATGCAGTTTAACTAGCAAACTTTTTATTATTTTTTCCCCACTTTTGTCTGGCATCTCTTTAAGGAAAAAGAAAAAAAAACAGCAAAATGAGAACACAAGATCTTGTGAAAATTGTACAAAGAACTGAAAGCTAAAAGCTTCCCTGGCTAAGCCATTTGCTGATCCTCTGAGCTTGTGCCTATCACTGCCTATCAAATGTAGGCAGCCTGTCAAAACATACCAGAATCTCTTTGAAAGTGAGGTATTTTCTCAGATCAGAGCTTTCCTGAATRCATAAATACTACACTTCTCATCCTGGAACATGCAATACTTAGCTGCATTAACCTATCAGTATGAAAATGCTGAAGAGCTGTGGAAAAGAGTTATGACCTGACTTAATGGTAAACACATAGGTCACTGGGCTTTTTCAAATCTAACCTCCATTAGCACAGAAAGCTTTCTCAGATGAGACATGACACTTGCCATGCTGCTTGCCATTTTGGTCAAAAGGACAACTTATGCCTTCTGTGAAAGTCAGCACATGATTTCTAATGTACATCAGCATTTTGTGGTTGTCAAAGCAGGTCCCATCTTCTGGCCTTATGCCGTATGTGTATACAAAATCTGAAGTTATTATAGCTAAACTATTAGCTGTATAAGTTAATTACTATGCTATTTGGATGAATGAGACTAAATCACCATGCGTGTTCTTGAAAGTAAGACTGTTCCTTTCATGAATCACACTAATTTGGTATCAATGGGTTTATTCTTACATAGCAACACAGAGTCTACTTAAGCTTGTTACATATAACTGTGCGATAGCCTTGGATGTTTTGTTATGTTTCCTGAAAATCTTTGTATGTCATATGTGTGATTGTTTCCTGTGGTTTGTTTTTTTTTTCTTTTAAATCAGGGTGATCCTGGTTCTTCTGCTGCAGGAATTAAGGTAATTTAGTGCTCATAGCAGTTGTATGGAGAAACGAGGAAAAGAGGGGTGGCTGTTCTGCATTATTTTGTGATGCCTCACAATGCCTCATTGTGAGGTATTTCAGCTACTGTTAATGTTGCATTTTTTCCCAACCCTATTTTTTCAGATTTTCTGTGATTTCTTTCATCTCTTTTCTATTAGGGTGAACCTGGTGAATCTGGACGACCTGGACAAAAGGTATTAATTGGAAATGTTCACTTACTGTTTTCCTCACTGTCAAATTTTGATCAGTCTTGTTGCATAGATGTTAACAGTGGCACTTCCCTACTGTTTTGCACTAGGATGAGTCCATGGCAGAACAATTTAACYGCCCATTTACAATCCACATTTGGTTTATGATTATTTTGTATTTTAAAGGCACAAGAATGCTGATAGTAATTGGCATGAAAGGCAAGGTTAGAATAATCCACCTGTTCGAGACAGAGCACTTCTTGCATAGAAAGTCCGCTGTGTTGCAGCTGGTGAGACTAACAAAAGAATGGATGTGCTCCTTGAGTGATCACAAGCTAACCTTGCATGTTTGACTAAATATTAACCTCCCAGTTATGTTATTGCATCTTCTTAAGAAGAAATAACTGTTACTCTTTTTAGTGGATTCCCTTTCACACATACTCGTAAGGGGAGGCAAAGTGGCAGAGGCGCACAGTGTTTGAAAGGACAGAGAGCAAGTAATTCTGCTCCCCTCCTGGGGAATAAATTCTCCTGGGTGCTGCACAGCTGCAGCTGGTTTTGCAAATAAAAATCCAGTGGGAGCTGAAGGTGGGGATTTTTTCCTTTGAATCCATATTACTTCAGAGTGAGGATTGTACCTTCATCTGCTTTTCAGAATAGGAGGCACCATCTCTCTCCTGGGAGAGCCAGTGAAAGGGCAAAGAGAACGCACAGTGACAGAACCAGATTTCTGCTTTACAGGGCTTGGTTTCCCTTTAGAGCCTTCAGCACCACTCTTGTCTCTTACAACATTGAAAATTTCTTACTGCTACCAGGATAGAACAGTCAGATGAAGATTGACTTAGCTGGTATTCCAGAACATAAACCTGAGAAGAAATAAAACAGATAAAACAGATAGGGAATGTCAGTACAGCTACAGTGAGTTAACCAATACTCAAGGCCCCTCAAAAGAGAAAAAAAAAAAAAAAAAGTTGAGTCATTTTGCCTGGGAAATTTTAATTCCAATCAATTACAACAGTCTAAACAAAGATGATTATGGTTGCAAATTCACTTCTGTACAGTGCATTTTTAATTAGAAAAAGTGATCAAAATAGTTTAAAGCCATCTGATCTCTGGAGTCCACACTTGCTTCAAATCTCTGTGATTTCCTTCTTGCCCTCCTCCCCTGCCTGGTACGGGATCTGGCTGCGCGTGGCGGCAGCAGCGCCCCGGCACGTTCCCTGGCAGCGCCTTGCCCTGCGGCTCTGCTCTCCCGCCCTGCGCCCTCGTGCACCCCGGCCAGGGGCTTTCCCACACAGAGGCAGCCCCTGCCCACAGCCTCACTGTCTTTTTCCCTCTTTTGTGCCCCATTCCTGTTTCCTTCCTATATCTTACTCCTTCTTTCCTTATATATTACTTCTTCCACTTACTCCTTACCAATCTTCTGCATCTTCTAAGGACAGATAATTATCGAGCTGCCCCACTTATTGCTTATCTGAAATGGCACTATGACTGTGTTTGAAGGATGACAGGGCTGTTCAGGCCGTTTGCATTGCACAGCAGTTGTAACAGCCTGCCCTTACCACTCCAGCATTTAGCTGGAGTTAGTATGCAGCCTCTCTTCCTTTAAAAATCATTCTTCCTATAAAATGTGCAGGTATGTTTTAAGGAAGATCCAGAGGAGAAAATATGCATTCATCTACAGCATTAATTGCAGTGAAGCAGTAGTGATTTAATTGTGTTTTACATTCTTTATCTTTGAGAAGTATTTTAATTGTTCTGTGTTACTTTGAATTTGAATTGATTTTGGTGGATCCTGGATGCTTGTCACCTGTGTTTACAGGAGTTAGCTCTGTCCCAGGACTAAACTGTGGCCTACTGCACCAGTACTGATAGATTGACCAGTTGCAGTTATCAAAATTATGTAATCGGAACTGAAACTAAGGCCTTCCCAATGAGATAAGAAAAAGTAGTGGTAGCAGTGTCTGYAGCGTCTGTGTCATTGGCACTTGTCTTTGGCACTGCAGCAAGAAGCTGGGAGGTGAGAAATGGAAAGGTTTTGGAGCTACCTTTTGGTGAGGAGTAAGTGTAATGGAGGCTGTTCAAAGGCTCACGCTGTTGCAAGAGTGGCAACCAGCTTCCAGCTTTAGGCCATAGATAAGTAGTGCAGCAGCAGATAGTCAAGTTCTGCCAGAAATGGTGCCCCAGCCTCCACTGTTTTGTCTAACTTAATCATTTCAGAGTGGGTTTTTCTTTTCTGTGGTTTTAGGTGGTGTGAATAGCTAAAATTTTGGAGTGACCGAAATAGACAAAAAAAGCTGTTATCATATCCTTCYGAAACATATAAAAATTGCTGTGTTGGAAAAGCAATTTGCCAACTCTCGATTGTGTTTTTCAGTTTGTGGTAGAATTTAATTTTATTACCTCTTCAAGTGTATATTTGATATTGATATACAGCTGTGAATGTGGTTACTGTCTGAGGAACACCTATATTTATTATCTATACATATGTATGTATATGTGAATGTATATATGTAATTTTCTGTGTATCTGTATACATGCATGCACAGAATATTTTAATAGTGTAATCTGTATGGATCAGCCCAAGCCACAGAGTTGGACTCTGGATTTCTCTAAAGCTCAGGAGTATATGAAACCTGGAATACAATTTAACTTGTAATGAAGGTAAAAGCTGGCTTCAGAGTAGGAGCTGAGCTTTGAGGAAGCTCAGGGAATATTCAGATCCRAGTTCTGGTCTGAATCCATCTCTGTATTAAAAAGAATCTCCAATCTTTGAAATAATGTTTTCTTCACATGTTTTTCCTATTTTTTTCTGTTCATCATTTCTATTTCCCTAAGCAATAGCTTTCTATTTACCTGTTTCTCCAGTCTTTCTAGTCTTAGAATAATAGCAACTTTGCTTCAAAATGTGWAGATTCAGTTTTCAACTTCTGTTACAAATTTTCCTCTTGCAAATGCAGTAGTGTAGTTTTTTAAGATTAGTATTTTAAATAAACATGGCAACTCTGAGTAAAACAGTAGCAAGGTACCTTCCCACGAGCTTTCATGACACTGTTTATAGATAAATAGCAAGCACTGGAATGATCCTGCAGATAGATCTATAAAAATGATGGTCCATTGTAATTAGGCAGTCCTGCCTGAACATTACAATTCAAGTTAAGCTCTTTCGAATTGCTTTGGAGCTAAGTCACAGTGATGCAGCATAACATCTAGTTCATCACTGAAAACAAAATTAAACATCTGTTATAAGTGTGGAGCTTCAGTGACAGTGTGTGAAACAAAGCAGTGCAGCTTGTTTTCTCCTCTTTCAGCAAGGGCTGATGATGAGATTTCCTTTTTGGTTTCGCTGACTTGACTTTTCAGTCTGGGTTTCATCTTAGCTTCCTAGGTTTGCAGTAAATATTTAAGTTCTTAAATGTACTACTAGCAATGTCATGTTAAGTCACTCACTATGAAAATTTCAGTCCTACTACTGACTAGCAATCATCTGTGCTCTTTATTTTACTGCAGAATATACAGGGATGCTCACTGGAGAGTGACCATAACTGAATAATGTCTGTAATATTATGTAATTTTCCTGTATAGGGTGAACCAGGTCTTCCTGGGCTTCCTGGACTCCCTGGGATAAAGGTAAATCAACTGCAGTCTCTGTGTTGTCCTGGGGGCACCACACGACAGAGGGGGGGCCGGTTCTTCCTGAATGTGGCTGAAATGGACTGATGGGTGCTGGTGTTTATACATTCCAGTCCTCGATTTTGAATGGGGGAGTGTTGCAGGAAGATTTCACATTGAAAATTGATCATGTCTTTAACAATATTTCTTACATTAAAATGTTAAGTGACAGTAGAACATCACTTTTCCTAAGAAATAAACCCCAATGCTTTAAAAAAATTGAATGTAATGCCTTTTTTTTTTTTTTTAACTATTTTATTTAATGGAAGTTAGTCAGCAAAGTTTTACTTGGTTTGTGCTTTGGCGAGTACTTTCTAGTAGCAACGGTCTACAGAAATTACCAACCTTCTGTCCAGAGAACTATATTCTTTATTCACAGGTTCTAGAGAACTGCCTCTATCAGCTAGAATATTCTGTGCTCCCATTACACAATGGAAATCACAGTCAGTGACAAGTCAAAGTATTTTAATAAAATTCTATTCAATATTAGCTACAGTGCCTGACCTAATACCTGGTTTAGATACTGGCTTCCTGTTTGTCTGGGATCTTTAGGTAAGTTGATACCAAAGACATGTGGTGGTTTGAGTTCTAGCCTAAGTGGTTGCAGTGGGAGTTGCAGCCACTACACAGTCAGAGCCCTAACTGTAAAATGCTGCACAGACAGAACAGATTTACATATCCTGAATGAGGGCTCATTAGATTGATTGCTTCTTCTTCAGCACAAAGATTCTTCTTCAGAGAACAAAATGTCTTTGAAACATTTTCTTTGYATTCCAGCATGGGTCTGTGGCTCCCCCAGGAAGTAGTTTATATCATCTTTCATTAACAGGGGTAAAAACCAAAGGCAAAATCCTCATGCTTTTGGTAGGAGTCAAGATTTATCTCATGCAATCTAACAGTACAGTGGTTTTCTCAAAAGACTCATAAATTGCCACAATATTCAAGCATGATGTCCCTTCTGTGGTTCCTGTAAACTGTAGAAAGAATTGAATGTGCATATCAAAGTTGGTATGTTGTAATATCCAAGAAAATAGTTTCCAGTGAGGTTTTTTATTTTCTGGGAGAAGAACCCTCTATTGTTTATTGATGATCATGGAGGAGCCAAATTCTTTACAGAATCTGCGTGTGTGTGTGTGTGTGTGTGTTCGTTCATGAGCTCCTTCCATAGCAATGTCCGGTGCTTTGCTAGTGAGGCTCCGTTGGAGGGTTGCTGTTAGTCCGTGTGGATTCCATGTTCATGCAGAACACACATCCATGCATACATATCATCAACAAGTAAAGAAATCTCTTGAGTATATGGTCCAGGGAAATTGTTGCTGTGAGCCCTTAACTGTGATGAAACAGCTTACAAATGCACCTGGGCAGGTTCAACTGAAGGCAAAATGAGAAGTGAAAAGGAGCTGAAGTGTGAGAGTTTTGACCACAGTGAAAATTTGTGTCAGAATAAAGTGAGATAAAGTGGAAAAACTGAAGAGTTTTCTGCATAATAATATGGGCCAGTAGTAAGCCTTTAGGAAAATGCTGTCTTCTCCTAAAAATCTTGGGCAGTTAGGTGATTTGATGATGAAATTCCCTCCATTGCAATTTTGCATTGAGGTAGTTAGATATTACAATGTAAGCAAATTATCAGAACTTGGATAGGAGATGGCAGAGCAGATTTGTGGTTACTACATTCTTAAAGGACAGTGTTTGACTCAAGGCAATTTTAAACTGCKTAACTAAGGTGGCCACATAAAAGCTTCAGCTTAAAGGTGGCAGAAGTAGTAGTAGCAGAAACCAGTGGTTGTCTGGACTTAGGAATATGAGCAACAAAAACAATGTAGTCTGGCCTCTCTTCTTGCCCACCTTTTTTGGCAAAGAATTACGTAGCATAATGGTGAAGTCTTGCCAGCASTTTCCAAGAGCAGTCCCAGTGATACCTTACAGAGAAGCAGATTTGAAGCAAAACTGAATGCTGATTAAAAATTACTTCAAAATAACAATGGCCAGGTAAAAGAGCATGGAGGCAATCCAGCTACTAGGGCATGCAATCTACTTGTGCTTTCCCAGTGTTAATTACAAAAATTCAAAAGTGTGTTCCCTTCCTTTACGATTTGTTGTTTGTTACGTTCCCATTGGAACTCAGAGTTCCCATTGGAACTTTATAAAACTCACTAAAATATTTCTTTGTTATTCTAATAGTGATATACAGTGGTGATGTAATACAACAGACCCCATACAAACTTATTACAGCTCATACAAAGTTAGTGGTCGTTTTTCTTAACATGAAAATGTGTTAGAGAATTCTCACAGTTCACATACCTGTATAGTAGCTCTCGGCAGGGATTTTGCAGTCCAGGCCCTGGCTTTCAGAGGTGGTCACTGGGTGACCCAAGCTGACTGCAAACAGAGGACAAAGTGACAAGGTTCTTTACAAGGTAGCAGCTACTTTGCCTCCTTTCCAGTGCATACAAATTACATATTCTCATTGTGCTGGTATTATTTTACTACCGTATTACTCTTTTAACCTTGTGTTGTGTTATACACGCACATGCATGCACTCTCAGAAGTCTTCTGCAAAATTTTCGGTTGACATCTCGCATTTTGGAAGTGTTAGGATTGCCTCTACCCTTTGTGATCCTTCTTCAGTATTACATAGTTGAAATTACAGAATGTAATGTAAGTGCATCTGAAGTACATTAATTTCTGCAGATAATTGGACCTAGACTATGTTCCCCAGCCAAGCAGTCAAGGTATAGAAACAATATATTTTCTGGAGACTCTCTGCTGCCTGATTTTTGAAGAGTTTTTGTTAATATCTCCTACTTCTTCCTTATAAGACATAGGGATATTTTATTCACAGGAAGCTCTAGGAGGTGGTTCTAATCTTAAATATCCATCGAATAATGGGTAATAGTCCCTTTTCTTTAAATCTGTCAGTCGAACAGCAGATTTGCTGTCTTCTGAATGAATCTGTCAGTAGTCACAGGCAGTATTATGAAAGGTTACAGGTAACTGCACATCCAGAGCACTGTTTACACTAAGCCATTAGTCTATGAAAATGTAGTTGTCGTGTCAGGCAGTGGACAGTCTTTTTCTAGCTGTCTCTCATCTATCTTCTTGTGGATACAGAACATTCCTAAGGCATCGAGACCAGTTTTCTTGAAAGAATAGCCAAACTACTTAAAGGATTACTATCCTTTATCCCAATCATTGGGAATTTTTCAGCTTCTTGTAATATCCGTTTCAATTAATAAGTGTGCCTTCCGTAGAGCCTTCTAGAGCTTGGTTGAATGTGGTAYTGGAGCCTGAATGTGTGGCAGCCTCAGAAGGGCACACATGTACCATGGTTGAATTGAGAGTATGCAGCAGGGTTATTATAAATTACTTTCCTAGACTCATTCCCCATGTGCCTGCAGATGTTTTGGGAGTTCTTCTTGTTCTTTTTCATCCTCTTTTCGTTATTGGTTGGTGCCATGGAGGAAACACAAGCGCAATCAGTTATTTCAGGACAGTGATGGAGCTGTGTGTGACATGCTGGAGAAGCTTTACCACCTGTTGTTGTTTTGGAATGGTTGAAAATTTAGTGAACCCCTGAATGTGCTCCACCATGTCACTTAGGAAATGAGTACGGCRCTTAAACACAGAACATTAACTCATCACTGCAATAGCTCACAACCGACACCAAGGAGACACAAAATACTGTCTATGAAACACAAATTTCATCTGTTTCTTTTATCTCCTAACTTTTATGGTGTGATAAATGCAAAGCATCATTCACTAAAATGAAAAGCATTTATTGCGATGTCAGGCATCTCTAAAATACCAAAATTAAAAAGTCAGGAAATACAAAAACATTGCATTTTTTGTGACATTTAAGCACGGCAATCCTTGAGCCCATCACTGCAGAAGGAAGCCTTCAGCAGAACATGGGCTTCTTACTAGTAGCAGCGTTTGGCAGCTTCTGGCTTTTCTTCAGTATTTTTGGCATTTCTCTCTGCTTACTCTCCTTCGTTTTTAAGACCACTGAAATAAAGTCAAACTCAGATTTGACTCAGGCTTCAAGAAAACTGCTGTTGAATGATATGAAAAAGGAAAGAAAGACTTTCTCAGTCTTCCATCTTTGGGAGGGAGGGTTTTCTGTGCTCTCAAATCCAGGGGTACTGTCCGAGTCAATACATGTGTCAGTTTGCAGTCGCCTGTATTCTTTTATACAGCTGCTTCGTATTGACTTCACTGACGAAGGGTTCAGAAGAACCTGAATATGGGAATTAGGCTGTGTCTTTTCTCTCTCTTTTTTTTTTTTTTTTAATGAAAGCAAGAGCAGGTCTAATTTTTTTTTCCTCTGCATTACTAAAAATCTTATCCATGACTCTCAGTGCTGCGGAAGGACCGTTCCATAGGACCATTTTTTTTTCTCTCTCTTTTTTTTTTTTTAAATAAAGGTTTAGTAGACTTGATATTCCTTTCATCTAGTCATTTAAAAAAAAATAAATCTTTCAGAGAAAATAAAAAGGCAACATTTTCTAGCTGTGTGCTTAATAGTTAGTCTCCTGAAYGTTTTAGAAGCTGTAGAAGAGATATTCTGTATTGTTGAAGCTTATTTTTTGTCTGTACTCTTCTGTACTCTTTCTGCACTTTTTCTTTTGGCATCTGGTAGCACATTGAAAAGAATATAAAGTAAATGACTGTTTCAGCTGTTTCATTTTGGAGCTTAATACTATTCAGTACGTAAACTTCAAATTGCTTTTTCTCTCAGGAGTTCTTAGGAAAGTTGATTACATTTCCCTAATGCATTTTCCCTTTTCTCTTTGTAAGGGATCAATATTTCTGTTCTTCCTGTTTTTTGTATTTGCCAGGGCCTGTTACTAGGAAACTTGCCCTGTCTGTTCCTTTCTGTTGTTTCCAGGCATCAGTTGTTGCTGTGCAGGCTTAGATTTCTCTTTATCCCATCAGTCCCCATGCTCAGAGCTCTATTC